TATTAAAAGTCATTAAACGTCACTATAAATTAGTGAGTTATATGTGAGTAACTATCTGTCTCGGTAAATCTGCTGAGAGCAACAGTGAGTTCATTAAACCCTTCGCCCAGCTGCTTCTCACAAGTAACAGCCACAGTAGAATTACCAGGGCGGAAAGTCAGTGTGGGCACTGACTGCAGTTCTGTTACCTGAAGGCCACGCCCCTCTCCCTTCATGTCCCAGAACAACACGCTACTCCAGTGTTGTCTTCTGCCTCCCCCAATCTGTGACATTCCTTCAGTCTTTCCTCGTTCTTCAAAACCTTATGTGAATACAGTGGACCCTTGACTTACCAACTCATTTCCTTCCCAAGGTCTGGCGGTAACTCGAGCTGGTCAGTGAAGGCTCAGGATCCTCTGCACAGCCTTCGGAGTCTCTCTCCTGTACCCAGGCAGATCTCAGTGTCCTAACCCCACACAGGAAATGTTCCTACCAGGGCTCTTTAAGGGTTAAATCTGCATCTGAGACCCTCTGGAAGCACAGGCAGCTGGCGTTTGGGTCATAACTCAAGACTGATTCTAAGTTAAAGCTAAAATTCCAGTCATAACCCAAGTAGTTCGTACATCAGGCCGGTTGTAACTCCAGGGTCCACTGCACCAGTGAATTGTTCTCTGTGACACCTCTCAATTTGGGAACAGCTGATTGTTTTGTGCAAGAAAACCACAAAAAATGATGCGGTGTTTTCAGTGCATCTTGCCGTGGAGGACACTGTCAACTTTATTTTTGGTGATGTTTACCTGATCACTTAATTAAGCTGTGTCTACCAGTTTTCTCCATTGTAAAGTTACTATTTTCCTCTTTGTAAGGGATAAAATATTTTGTGGAAATGCCTTGAGACTGTGCTAATATTCTGTTTCTCATCAAACTTTCAGCCATCAATTTTACATTTCATGTGCCCTCAATTTATAGAGATATTTACGTAATTGGCGACTTTGTATTTCTGACATTTTCTGTCCATTTACTAGTAGGAGTTTATTAACTGAAATCAGTAAGGAAAGGCTGACTTATATATTTTTATTGGCGTGGTTTATGGGTATTTATTTTATGGGTTATTTCCAATACCATCACAATTGTTTTGTTGCTCAAATTTTCCCCCTTTGGCTTTTGGAAGTGCTTTGAGGCTATTTTGTTTTTAATTGAGAATTAAGGCCTTTACGATAAGCTGCACCCCAGGACTGAGTGTTTAATGCTGCTGGGTGTCAGTGTCTCTGGAGCTTAGATTGACCTCGTGTGCACGTGTCTGCAAGTCTTCACTTTTATACTTTAAAATGGGTTCACACAGAGACTTCCAAGTCCAGAATTACCCCACAAGGTTCATTTTCGTCTTTCCCCTGATTTGTGACTCACTCCACTGACAGAAACCTGCTTCTCATTACCCATGAGTGATTCCCTTCATGGATGTACTGTTTTAGCAATTTGCGATTGCTGACTCGTACTCCATGAGAACCAATTTGTTAGCTACTGCTACACACAGTCCTTTTTGTCTCTAACTTTATGGTATCCACAGAACACCATCTGTTTTGCTTAGGTTCGTTCCTTTAATCCTCGCCCCAGTAGTGTGGTCTGTTTTGGATCCACCCTGGGTTGATTTTGTTTGCTTCTTTCTTTCTATGCTTCAGAGCTACCCACACTGATGCATTCAGAAATCTTCCAGATCTTCCCCGACCTTCTCAATTCCCAGGCTTTTTTTTTTTTTCTTTTTTTTTGTACCAGGGATCAGTCTTCTCAGGACCTTACACTTGTGAGGTAGGTGGTGAAACAACTGAGCTAAATCCCCGGCCCTCCATCCTCCCTTTCTTTCTGCCCCTTCTCACCCTTAATCCTATCATCTCTCTGTAACTAATCTTTTTAGTTTCTGGATTATTTTTCCTGTGTTTCTTTTGTAGAAATGACATACATATGTATTTTTTCATCCATTTCTTTCTTACAGTTTTGTCTTAAAATTTTTCTTAATTTTGTACGTTTCCATTTCACTGTGGTTTTAATTTTTTATTTTCTTTATATTCATTTTTCTCCCCTGGTACAGGAATCAAAGTCAGGACCTTGCACTTGCTGGGCAGGTGCTGTGCCACCAAGCCAAATCCCCAGCCCTTACTTTCTTTTTTCAAAATTAGGTTGGATACCTTTTCTTATTTATTTGGGTTTATTGGTCATTTGGTTTTCTTCTTTCAAGAAACTTGTCTTACTCATTTTCTTTTGGATTTGTAGGGCAAACTTTAAAAATCTTTTCAGTTACATTTGCTACAAATTTGTTACTTTGGGTTTTTTTGTTTTTGTTTTTGTTTTTTGTACAAGGGATTGAACTCGTTTCCTTGAGCTTGCAAGGCAGGCCTCCGAACTGCTGAGCTAAATCCCGGCCCTGTTACTTTGTATTTAGATTTGAAGTAGAAGTCCTTAAATCAATCATTTGCTCTTTGGTGCTTAAGAAATAATGTAGGCAATTATATAATTAATTTCCTAAAAGTTTTAGAGTTTTGTCTTTTACATTTAAGTTTTTAAGGCACATGAAACATTTTGTATATCAAGTAGTATATAATTAAATATTAATAATAAATCATTATAACTTTTCCCCCTGGATTACAGTTCTCACACTGTGTATTGAAGAACTCATCCTTCTGCCCCATCTTCCGTGCAGCTCTATTGCAGATCAAGTTTCTGGAGGTTTGGAGCTTGTACCGGTTTCCAGCCCTGAGCCCAGACCACTCTATTTTACTAATACAGCTCTAATTGTTTTTAATCCTCCCCGCCTTTTTTCTTCATGACCGTCTTGACTCTTGGTCCTTTGCCCTGCCATGAAAATACTAAAAGCAAGTTTTTAATGTTTAAAAAAATAACAATTTGTACTTGGTTCTGAGTTTCTGAATAAATTTGAGGAAAGTTTAAATTTTAGCTATATTTTATGATGTAGTTTTATTTGGTCTTCTTTAACATCATTCATACTTTCATAATTTTCTCCACAAAGGTCTTATATAGCTTTTGTAAGATTCATTCCCATATATTTAATTTTTATGGTGTTTTTATTTTAGTTTGGTTTTGGTTTCTTCGTTTTGTTCATGCTGGGGATTGACCCCAGGGTTTTGCGTGTGTTAGGAAAGTACAATCACTGAGCTACATCCCAGCTGTTTTAAAGATATTTCTTGTATGCCACTGTGTATAGAATTGCAGGTAACTTTTGTGAAGTGTCTGTGAGGGGAAGAGATTAAACCCAGGCCCTTACTGCTGGGCATGCTCTACAATGGGATGAACCCAGCCCCTTGGCAATTGAAACCCACCAACTTCACTAAATTCTTACTAATTTAATTGGCTTATCCATGGATTATTTTTTGTTTTCTACACAAATAGTACTAGTAAACAATGATAGTTTTGTTGTCTGCCTTACAGCTCTAAGTGAAAAATATCAGGCCAGACTGTTCAAAAATGTGAACCAGGGAGCACAATATTCATAGACAACACACAGGAAGGAAAGCACAAAAGCATAAAGCAGTGACTTAATTTTAAGTTAAAGATTTATGGATACATTTTTCCTGTTTTAAATATATCTCTGTACTTCCCAGTTTTTCCAAGATCACTTTCATAACCAGGAAACAAAATTTAAAAATAAAAGCAAATCAGTTGGCAACGTAGCCCAGCAGTACAGCACCTGCCTGCTTGATTCCTGGTACTAAATAAATAAATAAATAAATAAATGCAAGTCTAAACACAATTTAAAGGTAAGGATGATCTACTAAAAACACTCCGAAATGAAGCAGGTGCCTTTCACAAGCCTGCTGTCCCCCTACCTGGCTGTGTAGTTACGGACTAACGTCCTGTGTGGTATCCAAGAAAGACTCTTTGATTCCCAGAGTTTGTCCTTTGCGGACATGTGTGGAGTTGAACTGTCAAAGTCATACTATGCTTCTTTAATTCATTTGTTCTGAAATGCAGTCAACTCTTAATTATCCATGAAGTATATTTTTCCTACGTTATTTATGATCTTTTCATATCAGAGTGCCTTAACCCACCCTGCTATTTCCTAAAATCTAAGTCTCAGCCGGTTACACACTGCTGTTTTACAAATGAGACAAAACAATTTCTGAGTAAAGACTCCTAATGAAAAATACTTAAAAGCAAAATTACCTTTCTGTCCACACTTTCTGGTATAATTTTTCACATGGCAAAACATTGGTCTCATTTTCTCTTATACCACATTAGTATTACAGCTTCTACATGCTAATTGCATGTAGTTGTTAATTGAGCTGCTGTTATTTTAAAATAAAAGTGAAGTCATAATTCATAAAGGTCTCTTCATTTCAGAGAACAATTTGGTGTTTTAATTATCACAACAGCTTCATGAACCTAGAACTGTTTCACAGTTTCTAACATTTTGGGAATACCATAATTGTGGGTAATTTTCACTTTGCTCGTTTGGTACATAACCCTAACATCCATCGCGGTGTCCCATGCTCTAGATCCTGTTATCACTGTATAAAAACAAGTACAACAGGGGCTGGGGTCACAGCTCAGCAGTAGAGCACTTTCCTAGCAGTGCACTCCCCAGCTCTGAAAGGAAAAAGTACAACCACCTTAAAAAAGAAAAAGAAAATCTGTGGAGACCTCATATTGTTTTCCTTATATTTATTTTGTTGTTAAAATTTGGGGTGAGGAACTATGCATTAGTATTAATTTGCTTGCTGTTTACCAGTGTGGCCCATCTAGCACTTTACATAGAGAGAGAGCTTAACTAAAGGGAGGACCTTACACGTTCGACTGCTTTCTTCGCCTATCAGAATGTTCCTTGATCTTTGTGTCAGGCGGGTGGGCTGTTCTAACCAAAAGGAAATCTGGCGTTTCCTTCTCAAAATCATACTGCAGAGTGTGAAAAAGGAAAGGCAGCCCTGGGCCCTCGGGTCCATTCAGTGTCAGCACCAGTGAGCCCACGTGTGCGTGGAGCGTGAGGAGACAAACGTATTTCCTCCCGGCAGGTGTCCTTGTCGACTTGGGTCTGGAAGACACGGGGACGGCTCACCAGAGAGCAGAGAAGTACGTGGTCCGGCTGGACAGTGAGATCCAGAGCAAGTTCGAAGTCTTCATGAGGAGAGTGAAGCAGAACCCGTACACCCTGTTTGTGCTGGTCCACGACAACTCCCATGTGGAGCTAACGAGGTGACTGTGCTCTTCTCTAGCAGTAACCGCAGGAGGACAGTTCCTAAGGTGCCCAGGAGATGGGCCGGGGTCCCTAACTCTTGGTGTTTTCCTACTGTGACAACGGAGTCCTCCTCACTCCCCACTGTCTCAACAGATTTAATGTTGGTTTTATTTTAGACTATACAGAACTTAGAAACACTTATTTAGAAGCCATTCTTAAGAGCATTGTGGGAGCCAGGAGGGGTGGCACACAGGAGAATCATGAAGAATTCAAGGCCAACTTGGGCTACATAGTGACATAGGGAGACCCCGTGTCAAAAACCCCAAAACAAAAAAGAATGTTGTGGGCTGAGGATTTAGCTCAGTGGCACCTTGCATGTCTTGAAAATTCAAGGTTCTGAGTTCAATCTCCGGTACCAAAAAAAAAAAAACAAAAAACCATTGTAAACCAGGTGTGGTGGCGCACTCCTGCTGTAATCCCAGCGTTTGTGAAGCTGAGGCAGGAGGTGATTTCAAGGCCAGCCTGGGCTACGTAGTGAGCTCAAAGGTTGCCTGAACTACAGAGCGAGACCCTGTCTCAAAAAGAAAGGGAAAGCATGTGGACTTGGTTGCTTCGTACAGGGCGCGAAGTAAGGTGGGGTGGAAATGCTTACAGAGGGAGAAGCGCTTTCTTGTGAGGACTCCTCCCTGCTTTCTTCTCCTTCCTCCTGCATTTCCACCTTGCCTTTGCCTTTCTCTTTTCCCTTGCAAAGAAATGCTGCTGTCACAATCCAGGAGCCCCAAAACCTTCCTTGCTTTCTGGACTAAGCAGTGGGTGTCATGTTCTCGGGTGGCCTGTGTGTCTGGAGGGTACTACCTGCTCCGCTTCCGAGTCACTGCGGAGTGTGGTGGAGGGGCTTAGTTCCCATGGATGGAGCAGGGAGGAGGAGGGCTGGGATGGTGGCCGGGGCGGAGCAGTTGCCTGGCAGAGGGCTGCACAGAACTGTCCTCGGCCTCTGCGGGGAGGGAGGGAAGTCTGGGACATCTGAGCACTCTCCGATCTCTTCTCCAAGAGACACTGAGGTAAGTCCACAGTCTGGAAGCTGTCGGTCTGTGGTAGAGAAGTCAGAATTGCAAAACACTAGGGTTTTTTCTGGAGTTCAGATGCCAGAGTGTGCTTGAAATGCTGTAGTTTCAAATCTAGAGCCATATTGGTGCCCATAAGATCCAGTATCACTGTTGGGTTTAGAAGCAAGGAAAAAAGGAAGAAGAGGTGGAGAGAAAGGAAAGAAAGGAAACTTTCTACATGTCTGCTCGGTTACTGCTTGTGTCTTCTGAGCAGAAAGAACTCGCCAGCCTGGCACATTTTGTCTTTGAAAGCTGGGGGCTATTTCTGTGGCTTTGCATTGGGTCTCTATATTTACCTCCCAAGATCTTTGTATTTTTTGGTTTTTGTTGGTTTGTTGTGTTTTTGTGCTACTGGAGATTGAATCCCAGCCTATTTACTTATTTGGGACAGTGCCTCCCCGAGTTGTCTGGGCTGGCCTCAAAACTTGCAATCCTCCTGCCTCAGCCTCATATGCAGTCAAGATTGTTCTTTTTTTTTTCTTTTCTTTCTTTGTTGAGTTTATTGGTACATTCTAGGTATACAGTACATTTACATTCATTACTGGGATCTTGTACTTTTATTGTTTGTTTGTTTGTTTGTTTGGTACCAGGGATCAAACTCGGGCCCTTGCACTTGCAAGGCAGGCAACGGAACCACTGAGCTAAATCCCTAGCCCTTGTACCTTTACATGACAGGTCTTGGTTCTCATTTTTTCCCCTTGTCCCTGTCTTCCTTTCATCCCCTCCTCCCCTTTTTGTTTACAAACGCTTTGTTTCCATTTTTTCATTTTCTCCTATTTTTTCTTTTCCCTTATTACCTTTCCCCTGCCCTTACCACTTTCCCTACACCTTTAGCCCTTTTCTTCCTATTTCACATTGTTAATTATCCATTAGGATCTTTTGTACCATTATAGTTTTCACACCAGAGAAACTATTCGGTATTCGGTATAAGATTATTCTTTTAATTAAAAAGGAAAAAAGTGGTTCTCGGGCAGCACAACTCTGGTGTATTCAGATTAAACAGAAGTGAAAAAGTGTCAGGATGAGTCTTGCTCATGGGTTGCCCAGCCCTGCCCCTGCTCTACTCCCCCAGGCGGGAAGGGGGTGGTGTTGGTCTCTGCAGTCAGGGCCCCTCCGCCACGCCCTGCTCCCTGGAAAGCTCCCTGCCACTGTGCGCACTAACAGGTACATTGGGAGCAAATTGGAAAGGGAGAAGAAAACCCCTGAAACTTGCTAGAAAAAGGTTAAAAGGACATAGAATTTTTGTCTTCCAAATCACATTTTGATTGTATCGACCTCTAATTTAGGAAAGCTAGAAACAAACAGAGACACTGTGCACTTTGGCGTGGCTTCTGCACAGCTGACGAGAAGGACTAACGTGACTCTCCTGACCCACAGCGTCATCTCGGGCTCCCTGTCACACGGAGAGGCCAGCCACGGCCTGGCTGACCGGGTCATCAACTGCAGAGAAGTCCTGGAAGCCTTCAACCTCCTGGTGCTGCAGGTCAGCTCCTTCCCGTACACCCTGCAGACCCAGCAGTCCCGGATCAGCGCCAGCAACGAGGTGCACTGGACCCAGCTGGACAGCACGGTGAGTCCTGGTACCCAGCTGCGCGAGTTCAAACACCTAGCACCATGCTTCATCTTCTAAAAGCCCCATATGATGGTAATTTTATATGTGAGCTCTTGCTATATTGTGCAGCCTGGTCTTGAACTTCCGGCCTCAGGAGACCCTCCTGAGTGGCCGGCACCACCGGTGGGCCACCATGCCCGATTGCAGCTGTTAGGAAACTAAAATCCAGCAGGCAGTGTCCTAGAGAAATTCAGCAAGGGGTTCTTTTTAGGTGCCTCAGAGACAGAAGTTTATCTCTCCTGTCTGGTTTTAAGCACCATGTTGAGAGAGTCATCAGTCTTCTTTACCGAACTTTGTGCTAGTACATGATTAATTTCACTCAGACCTGAAAACGTCCTCGTCCTCTTGGGTCGCCTCAGCTTAAGTCTGACTGCTGCATCACCATCACCGTACGCCTCCCAGAAGCTGAGTCTTTCAGGCAGCCCCCGGCCTCGGACCAAAGCGGGCACAGCGCTGTCCCCAGAAAGAACTCAGGGCGTGTGCCGAGTGCACTGGGAGCTGCCGTCCAGGTCTCCCTGTTTTTTTGATGCCAGTCCCCAACACCGCAAAAATACTTTCTGTGACCTGTTAACTACATGCCAAATATATCATTAAAAAGAAATAATTTCATAAAAGTAGTAAAGATTTAAGGTGGGCACGGTGCTGCATCCTTGTAATCCCAGCACTCCAGGAGGCTAGGCAGGAGGATTACAAGTTCAAAGCCCAGCCTGAGCAATTTAGTAAATTAGCCACACTCTGTCTCAAGATAAAAAATAAAAAGTAACTGAGGGGTAGGGAGTTGTTATTCTCTTCTGTAAGGGAAGATTTAAAAAGTCACCCCCATGGAATTGAGGTACACATAGAGAAAAGGAAAACCCATTTCGTCCACTTTCCACACAGCGGGGAGAAGCTCCTGACCGCTCTCCTCACCCTGTCACTCTGAGCCCATGACCCGAAGGAGGAGTCTCCGGAAAAGCAAAGCAGTTCGGGAAAACGTTGTCACGTACCTGTGAATGGGGCACACTTTTCAGATAGCTCAGAGAAGGGGACACTGAGGTGCATCTCTGAGCACGAAGTCCCCTCCTCCCAAGAGGACCCAGGAGGCTTCACGGAGGACAGCACGCGGGGCCCTGGCCGGAGAGCGTGCATGTTTCTGTCAGGCCCTCGGTGCCCACAGGAGGGGCTGCAGCTCGGGTTGTCCGTTCAAGAAGAGACACCTGGCCGCTGGCTTTTCTGATCACTGGGGTTGGAATGAGCATTACTTAAATCAAAACAGTGGTCCCCACAACAGGCGGATTGGGAAACAAGGCAGGTTTTCCAGGATTTGTTATAGGGGGAGGTGAAGAGTCAGAATTACTTTGGAGATAACGTTTTTAGTCGGGAAAGAAGCCGTCGAAGGGAAGACTGGCGCATGGAGGACAGATGTGGCTGACGGAATCGGTCTGCACGGTGTGGATCTGAATCATTTTTCGAAAGCCATGACCAGAGCAGCTGGTGCGGGTGAAATCGTGGAGGGGGCCTCGGTGACCCTACAGGGACAATGTCATGGAGTAGAGCGCTTGGCTGGAGGGAGACAGACAGAGACGTGGCAGGGGGCCCTGAAGAGCTGCAGGGACAGTCACCAGTGGGGCGGGGTTGGGGTTTTTTATTATAACAAGGGATATTCCCCCCATTAATACCAATTCAATAAAATCCTTGGCTTAGAATCCTAAAGTGTATCTTCAGGGTGAAACCACTCCAAGTTTCATAGCTCCTGCTGTGAGGATGGCTCTGTTCACTTGTTACTTTACTACTTTTGCAGTGTTACAAAAGCTCCGGGTCCTCGGTGTTAGGAACACAGCAGGGTGGGGAGGCTGTTCACTGCCACTTCGGGTGTCGAGCACTGCTAGAGCTCCCCCATCTCAGGCATCACTGACCAATCTACGCTGTCATTTTACTAATAACAGACAAGGGAGGCCAGCGGGCCTGCCCTGCCCAGCAGGTTGTGATGTTGCCTCAGGAAGGGAAGCGCGTGTGCAGGAGGATCCCGTTTGTCCCCAAGAAACGGGGCCGAGACGAGGGGAAGGACACACAAGACGCAGCTTCTCCAAGTGGCTCTGTCCCCCTGAGGAGGGAGGCAGCCATGAGGGACTTTGCTCCTGTGGTGACTGCGTGACCCAGCTGTGCCACCCAGAGCTGAGCCCGGGAGACCAGCAGAGGCCTCGAAGCCTTTGAATTCGATGTGCCTTGGCCTGTGCCCAGCGCCCTGGGGTCTGTAAGGGCCCTTCTGGTCCTCGCAGGGGCCATTTCCTCCCACACAAGCACAGTTCACTGGCTTGGGGGACATTAAAGAAACTAAAAGCTGCCAATTCAACAGTGCCTTGTTTCTAGCTGTGGATCCCGCATGTCCCAAATTGCCTCTGTTTAGATGGGTGACTGGAAAGCTCAGAACCAAACCTGTAGCCCACTTATCAGGGCGCAGGAACTGCCCTGGCTCAGTCTTACTTCGTTAGCCTCTCTCTTCCTCATCTTGCCTACTTGATGGTTTTTAGAGCTTAGTTATAAGTTAGAGTTTACTAAGAGAGAAATATACCAATACATTAATAACAAAAAGCCACTAAAGTGCACGGGCAACGTGACAAGAAAAATTACTGTAAAAAACTAATGCAGAGAAGCAGCAAGAAGACTATAAAAAAAACTCCATGGACTGGGGATTAGCTCAGTTGGCACTGTGCCTGCCTGGCAAGTGCAAGGCCCTGAGTTTGATTCCTGGTACCAAAAAAAAAAAAAAATCCCTTGAAGTAAAAAAGTTGATGTAGTGCTCGGGGCTGCTAGGACAGGCAGCTTGTCACACCTCTGGGGACCTTCAGAGGGCATCTTCGCGCGACACCCGAAAACAGTTACGCATTTTCAGAGCCTTCCACTACCACAGGTTAAGGTCACCGGAAGGGACAAGGATCTTCAGCCTTAGCAATGATTGCAGAGCTGTTTCCAGGTTGCGTCATGAGACACCTTTACTTCCCAGGAGGTGACCTTTCTGGGGTCCCCACCCGCACACCCTGATCCCTGTCCTCAGGAGGCTCTGCTTTGTGTCTGACGCAGGAGGACGTGGGCTGCAAGGAGAAGCTGTACTTCGGCCTAAACGAGTACAGCAAGTCCCTGCAGTGGGGCGTCACCAGCCCACTCCTACGGTGCGACGAGACCTTCGAGAAGATGGTGACCACGCTGCTGGAGAGGTAAGCAGGACGCGGTGATGCAAAGGCCAGACAAAAATAGCCTCTCCCAGGATGACCTCGTCCCGTGGGTGGCTGTGGTCACCCGAGACGGATGGAGGACAGCAGTGGTCTGAGGGCGCACACGGCACCACCTCCGGGCGAGCGGTGACAAACCGAGTTTGCTATGCCAGAGATGAGCTGATGCAGGCACAAGCCACGAACCCTGGCGCTGGGCCGCGCGGTTCTGCTTTCTCCTCCGCGGAGGCGCCTGGGGCCCTCCCAGCCCTGACCTCAGCTAGGCACTGAAGAAAACAACTCTGTCTCGTTTCTGTCCTCAGTTCTGGATCCCACTGTCAGTGTTTTCTTCTCTGAGCTTGAATCCTGGGCTGGGGTATTTACCCAACCTCTTAGAGGTTCCACCACAACGTGCTGCTTATCATCAATGGGGTGGAGGGGCCCACGCGGCCCCTTTTGTCATTCTCCCCAGATCACAGCCATCTTCTGGACAATCTGCTCTATGATTGGGCTAAGAGAAAAGGAGAAAAGAATTAAAATGAGAACAAGTCGGTCCACCCCATCCAGCAGGTTAGAAAGCTGCCAGGAGCAAGTAGTGTAGAGTAAGATTTGATAGTTTTGCAGTTATTTAAGATTTGAGAACTGTTAACTGACACTGTGCCATTAAAGTGCTTTTAGTACACATGACCTTAAATTCCCAAGCTCACCCATGATTATTCCTTTCAAAAGTTTCTCACCTACCTACTCCATCTGCCAGCCTGAAACACATCTTTTTGTTTGTTTGTTTTTTGAAACAGGGTCTCCTTATATGGTTCACACTGGCCTTGAATTCACTGTGTATTCTGGGCTGGCCTCCAACTCATGGCGATCCTCCTGCCTCAGCCTCCCCAAGTGCTAGGATTACAGGTGTGCACTACCACACCCAGCAAAACACATCTTTCTTTACAGTAATATCAGAGTTTCAGAACTCATGTTTTTTTTTTTTTACTTCACTGATTGATTGATTCATCAATTTCTTTTTTCAGTATTAGGGACTGAACTAAGGACCTTGTGCTTACAAGGCAGGTGCGGTGTCACTGAGCTACATCCCAGACAATTTTTTTTTTTTTTTTTTTTTTTACCGGGGATTGAACTCGGGTCCTTGTGCTTGCAAGGCAGGCCACTGAACCACTGAGCTAAATCCCCAGCCCCATTTTTTTTTCTTTTTTTTTTGAGACAGGGTCTCGCTATGTAGTTCAGAGACTTCAAATTCACAGCAGTCTTCCTGCCTCGGCCTCCCAAGTGCAGGGATTTACAGATGGTGCCACCACACCTTGCTAGAAATTGTATTTCATAGGATGGTGGGTAGCTTCTGTTTGCAACTTTGTAATTCTTAGATACAACTATTACTGTAGTTTCATGCAAACGTGACAGATTGAGGAAACTACTCTCTTTTAAATTTAACACTCTGCACCTGGGCATGCTTGGAAACTCAGCACTTGAGAGGCAGAGGCAGGAGGATTGCCGCGAGTTCAAGGCCAGCCTGAGCTACATAATGAATGAGTTCAGGGTCAGCCTGTCTCAAAGTGAGACCCTGTCTCAAAAAACAAAAAAACAATAACAACAACAACAAAACACTGAACATTCTTTCAAAGTGCAAACTCTAAATGCCTGTAGATCGTTACTGTTTACCCTTTGAGGATTTTACATGGTGGAGGCAAACACAAAAGCCCAAGCCCTCAGCATAGCCCGCCTCTGCCTGTCCAGCACAGTCTCCCCCCTGACGCAGCGAGGGCCTCTTGCCCAGGACCGCTGGACAGAGGCTTTCTTCACTTTTCCCCAAGCTACTGATGCTCAGCTGTGGGCGAAGAAGACCCCGTTAGAGACCCGGCTGAAGGCACACCTATCTCTGCCTCCCGCCGGGTGTACGCCTGGGCCGAGCAGCTGGACCTCTGCCCCTTGGCACCTGCTCCCAGAGAAGGCCGGGTGGTTGGGATCCTGGCACGTGTCCCGTCCCCTCCAGCACCACTGGGCCCTAACTGGTCTGCGCTGCTGGGCTTTTCCCTGTGACGCTGTGGCACGTTTGCATTTTCAATGGAATCAGGGAGTGGAGTGAGGAGAAATCCCCCTCGAGCACACTGCGCAGCTGCGTGCGGCTGGGCTCCGGCGTCGCCGGCCTGGCCCTGCCGTGCCAGCACCTGCTTCCTCACTGGCACCTCCCGCGTGCCGCAGGCCAGGCCTCTCGGGCCGTGTTCACCCGTCTCGTCGTCAGACCTGGCTTTCTGAGACTGCGCAGCTGCGTGCGGCTGGGCTCCGGCGTCGCCGGCCTGGCCCTGCCGTGCCAGCACCTGCTTCCTCACTGGCACCTCCCGCGTGCCGCAGGCCAGGCCTCTCGGGCCGTGTTCACCCGTCTCGTCGTCAGACCTGGCTTTCTGAGGAATAGCAAGCACCTGAGAGGTTTGAGCCCGGCACGGTGGCGCACATCTGTCATCCCAGTACTGTGGGAGGCTGAGGCAGGGGGACTGCAAGTTCCAGCGTAGCCTGGACAATTTAGAGACTTGGTGAGATTCTGTCTCAAAAAGAACTGGAGCTGTAGCTCAGTGTGAAGGGCCTGAGTATAGTCCCCAGTACAGAGAGGGAGATTTACTTTCTACTTGCTCTGTAATTTTTAAAACTGCCCGTGTGAACAAAGTGACCCGCTCTTCCGGGTCGAGGTCTAGGCAGGGGCGAGGGTTTGCTCCAAGCTCACGTTCGTTGGGCTGGGCCACAACAGCCCGGCCACCAGGGGGCGCTCTTCCCCCGGCCAGCTCCGTTTCCCGGCACCGAGGCCCGTCTAAAGGAAGAAGCAGTTCTTGCGCGCCGTGGGGGCTTTAGTGGACCGGCCTTTTCGTGCCTAACGTTGCACGGCAGCTCCGTCCGAGTCTTCCTGTAACCTTAAATCTCAGAGAACTACGCTCACGACGCCATGGTTCTAACCCAAGGCCACCTCGAGGATGCAGGTCCTAAGGGCCCCCAGGGAGGGGCGCCCGGGCCTGGGTGAGCTGCGGCCTGCCGGGCCGGTCCCCAGCAGCCGGACCCACCGGCCTCCCGTGCCCCGCAGGTACCCCCGGCTGCACAGCATGGTGGTGCGCTGCTACCTGCTCATCCAGCAGTACTCGGAGGCCTTCATGGCGCTCACCACCGTGGCGTCGCTCCGCGACCACAGCACGCCCGAGACGCTGAGCATCGTGGACGACCTCCTGGGCTGCCCCGGCAAGGGCGCCAGCGGCCGCGGACACATGCTGGTGATCAGGGTGCCCTCGCTGCAGCTGGCCATGCTGGCCAAGGAGCGGCTGCAGGAGGTGCGCGACAAGCTGGGCCTGCAGTACCGCTTCGAGATCGTCCTGGGGAACCCGGCCACGGAGCTCAGTGTCGCCGCGCACTTTGTGGCGCGATTAAAGGTTAGCAGGGCGGCGCGTCCCCTCAGAAATCTCTTCGTTCCTGCTCCCTGGGAAGCCCCCTAGGTGGCTCCAAGGCCAGCGTCAGGAGATTTTTGCCTGTGGGTGAATTTGAGCCCCAGGTCGGTGTTCAGCTGACCGACGTCTTTGCTGTCTGAACCAGAACTCGTTTCTGAAGCCCTGTGGGACCTGAGACAGCTCCTCCGTCTCGGCCCTCCGTGGGGTACCCACCGATTACTCTAATTCTCTTCTGGCCTACCAGCCACCTGCACTCCAGGCTCACGGCTCCCCTAGATCCGCTTCTGGCTCTCCCGTGCGGATTCCTCCGCAGTCCCTTGCTTCTGCAGGAACTTCCTTGGCCCTCAGCCCCAGGCTGTGGCTGGACTGAGACATAAGCAGGCATCCTACGGAGGGACATGGTGCGTGGCCGAGCCCCTGCTGCCCCTCTGCCCAGCCAGGGACTGTCCCTTCCCCTTGTGCCCGAGTGGCCCAGCCGAACCCCTACCTTAGGCCTGGCTGCGTTTCGTCTGGGGATTTGTGTGATCCAACGTGTCCTAGCCATGAAAAGCACTTGGCCAAATACCTTCGTCCATGAGGTGTGGAACCACCTAAGTCAGGAAGAACCTACCCTGCATTCTAAACCCTAACCTGAGGGCCTTAAGAAAAATCTAGTGTGGGCACGGGCGCTGGGCATTTTAAGGCCCTAGCTTACATCCCCAGAAGCACAAAAATAAAATTATTTTAAAATTTAAAGGGGGGGGATTTAGCCCAGTAGTTCCACCACCTGCCTCACAAGCACAAGGTCCAGAGTTTGATCCCCAGTACCAAAAACAAAACAAAACAAAAATAAAAATTTAGGTGCACACTTTATGAAAAGGAAGCACGTTAGTCTTCAGAGATTTGCAGGGATTTCCTATTTGCAAAACGATAGTTGGACTGCATGCTTTCTAAGAGTTCAAATCTGATTATTTTTATTTAGTGTTCATAAATCGTTTTTGTAAATGTAAAGCTTATTGTATAGTTAGTATAAATTAACCTAACGTGGAAAAATATTAGTTTGATAAGCAACTGGAATAAGTAAAATTGCCCCAAATATAAAAACACCTGTATTTAGTAGAAGTGGTAACAACTCTGTTTCCGATACAGAGCTATGTCAGTGGCGTTTCTAGGACGAAGGAACCCCGGAGCCCTTCTCAGGGGAGAGCTAATGCTAGCCAGGAGTTCCGGGAGGCCCATCCTGCACAATCCACATCCACAGGCTTCCGCTGGGCTGGGCCTTGGTGCCAGGCCCGGCCCTTCCCTACCTGCAGGGTCCTTTTTTCTTTCTTTCTTTTTGGTACCAGAGATCAAACTCGGTGGGACCTTGAGTTTGAGGCAGGCGGTGGCACCACTGAGCTACATCCCCAGCCCGAAAGGGCTTTTAAGAGCACCAGACCCTTGAGGCTGGGTTCAGGAGCACTGTTTGGAGAGCAGGCCCTGCCTGGAGAGTTTCAGCGTGGTTCTTCTCCCTCCGTTTGGATGGGAAGCTGAGACACCACGGAAGACCCGTTTTCCTCCAGGCCCTGGGTTGGTCCGGCTCCTTTTCCTGCACCCAAAGCCACACAGGGAGAGGCTCTCTGCTCGGGGCAGCGCGGTGCCAGAGCTGAGCTCTCGTCCTGGCCCAGGTCCAGGCCGCTTCTGTCCTGTGATCCCATTCTGATCTGCCGAGTCTTCTGTTGTTTCGGCCCACTCACAAGTGATGACAAGCGCTGTGGGAGGGCGCGGGTCTCAACAGGAACAAATCAGCTCCTCCGCGGCCAGTGCTGTGTGGCGTCCACCTCTGTGCAGTGAAATGACCCCATGGGTGCAGAGATCCACGGCAGACCCGACCGCTGGTGGCTTTGGTGACTCAGACTGGCCGGGAGCCAGTCTTCCCAGAACAAACTCCAGCTTAGGAAAAGGCGATCTCGCTCATCCAGTGCCTGGGCCCAGCCTCATTATCTTGGGGGGAGTGCCCAGGCTGGGCGGCCTGGGGAAGACCCTGCTTTACACAGCCTGATTTTCTTCCATTTGGTCTTTTATAGACAACAACATCTTTTTGTTGCTTCTTGGCTGGTAGGCTTCTTTGTATCACATTTTGTGCTGAGCACAGGCCAACACCTTCTATTTGCAAACAGAACTGCTCTATTCCTAAGAACCTTACTTCTTAGTCCTCTTTCCCATAGCAACCCCTGCTAGGAATGGATGTGAAGCACAGTTCAGTGTATACTTGTAAGACACAATAGAAACTACTAAGCCACTTGAGACTGTTTTTCTCTATTCTAAAATACAGAGAAACATTTCTAAGATCTCCTTACTTTTGAACAGCTTTCAGCTGTTGCAGCCAGAGGAGCCGCTGGGAGCAGAGCCCTTGCTCCTGGTGCCTGAGGCCTGGCCTTAGCCAGCAGACCGGGGGCTGAGGTCCACTCACTAGAGAGCGTGTGTCAGTGCACATGTGTGTTCATGGATGTGAGGAAGCAACGCGTGGTAGATTGTGCGAAACCCTGAGCAAAATGAATTACTCTCCAAATAAGAGTGCTTCTTATTTCCTTGATCTAACCAAGCCAGGCTATTTTTTCAGCCCTATTGCAAGAGACTCCTTGTCAGTCATTTTTGAAGTCAGTAAAGGGAAAGAGAAAAAAATAACCATTAGAGGTGACTAATTTCATTATTCTCTTGGTGAATATGTCTGTTTTGATGGAGTTTTGAAATTCTGATGAAAGTCATTCACCACTGAACGTTGTCTTTTGGAGCTGCTCACCTGATGGTCCTTCACAGTGTGTCTTCCTGGCCCGTGTGGATGGTGCTGAGGTGTACTAGGGTCTCCTATTTAATCTTTTGAGATTAAAAACGAAAGGCCCCATTCTCTTAGACTGTAAGGCAGCAGTCAGAGTATGCGTGTGTGAATGGAGATACAGAAATCTTAAAGAGGCGGCGGCTCAGGAGTTTGAGAGTTTTCACAGCATCGTGTGAGTCTCTTCCTACAGACGTGGCGAGGAAACCACCCGGAGGAGTGGACACCGCGGACGTATCAGGACCTAGAGGGGCTCCCGTGCATCGTGATCCTGACTGGCAAAGACCCGCTGGGAGAGACCTTCCCCAGGTACGTTGTCGGGGATGGTGTGTGCAGGGATGTGGAGAGCAAAGCCCTCTGCCCTTGTCCATGCGGGGAGCACCAGCACCTCCGGGGACAGGAGGGAGCTGCTTTGGGACGAGCAGAGCAGCAGAGCAGGCACCAGAGGAGCAGAGTGGAAAAGCAGGACTTTTTAAGTCTGTTAAGCTGCTATCCCCGCCCCAAGGGTCCAGGCCCATAAACTGGGCAGCGGCAGCTTTAGTTGAATGTTGTGAAGAGTCCCTTAAAGTCCCGCTGTTGTGAGTGATGTGCGGAGAAGTCAGGTCACCAGGTGCCGCTGGCCCGAGGAGGGTAATGTGCGCTTTCCACGCAGGTCCCTGAAGTACTGTGACCTCCGCTTAATCGACTCGAGCTACCTGACCCGCACGGCTCTGGAGCAGGAGGTGGGCCTGGCCTGCTGTTATGTCTCCAAGGAGGTTTTGTGGGGGCCCGCGGCCGCCCTGGACCTCAGCGGAAAGGAGCCAGAGAGGCCACCAGCTGGCGACAATGACCCAGAGGAGCTGCTCATCGACCTGGAACGGCCACAGAGCAACAGCAGTGCCTTCACGGGAACCTCGGGTTGGTGCTCTGCTCCCCGTTTCCTGGAGGGAAGGGGTGCCGAGTCTGGAGACCCTCAGCCCCAAGGCGGAGGCCGAGGCGGGGTGCGAGCCGGTGGCTGCCACCAGTCCCCCCACCTCAGCAACCCCAGCCTGCAGCCACCATGTCCCTTGCCCTCTTCTTTGTGCCTCTGCGTCTGCTGTGCACAAGGGCCCGAAGCTGAGCGGTTTAGTCCCTGGCACAAAATGTTCTCACGAATGAGCAAATGACTTCACTAAACACCCAGTGGCAGAGCTGGGCATGGTGGTGCGCACCTGTAATCCCAGCACGCTAGGAGGGTGCAAATTCAAGCTCAGCCTGAGCAGTTTAGCAGCTTTGAGACGGTGGAAAATAAAAAAAGGGCTGGGGCACGTGGCTCAGTATGCCTGGGTTTGACCCATACTGGAGAAACGGAAGGGGGGATAGGAAGAAAGAATAGAAAGTATCATCGGAGTACGGAGACATTCGGGTGCAACTGTTGACCCAGAGGTGACCTCCACGGCCCTGACCTGACGCTGACACAGAAGAGGCCCTCTCTTCTCGGTCCCTCCTCTCCCTCCTCTCCCTCCGCTTCTTCCGCTTCTTTTCCCTCTGGCGGCTCTCGGCTCTCGAAGTGGAGAGCAGGCCAGGGCAGGGCGGCAGCATTGGGGAAGGAGGGGCGCCCTTGTCCTGAGGGTCCCCCTGCCACGGTCCCTCCCCTGTGGCACAGCCCTGCCCGGCTCTGTTGAGCTGGGTC